TCTGCTGAGAAGATTAAGCAGCTGCGTTTGGCCATTCTCCTGATGTTTGGAATGTGCCTTTCTCAAATGCCTGCCGTTGGTGGGAGGAGGGAGGAGGGAGGAAGAGAACCGCCCGACAGCATGGGCGGGGCTGTGCTGCGCGCGGGCGCCGCTCACGGTCTGGCCCCGGGTCTCGCTGCAGGTGCTGGGCGGAGGAGAACCGGGAGCCGGAGGAAAATGGGCCCGCACCCAATCCCTACGACTACAGGAGGCTCCTGCGCAAGACCTCCCAGCGGCAGCGCCTCGTGCAGCAGGTGTAGCGCGGCTGCTGGAGGCCACGGCCGTGGGAACGTGCGTGAGACTGCGCGGTTGCAGGGGCCAAAGCCCGGGCGCTGGCAGCACCGGGCGCTGAAGCCGCGGCCCTGACCGTGGCAGGGGCTGCCCGCAGCGCTCGCCCCTCGAGTGCCGGGGCCAGCCTCTCCGAAGGCGGAGAAGACGGAGCCTCCGGACGCCGCGTCTCCGCACTCCGGCACCCTGCACTCCCGCCAGCTGGGGCAGCCCTATCTCTGCCCCCCCCCCCAATGTATCTCTTTGTTCCCTCATTTGCAACTCCCGTGGACCCGACTGCGCCTGAGCTCTCGCCAGTCCCTCCTCTCTCATTTTGGGTGACTTCAAAGATTTCTTTTACTTTGGAAACCGCTCTCCCAGGCCCGCGGGACACTGTAGGGGCGAGCAAAACAAAGCCCGGACGGGAGAAGAGGTGAGGGTGGGGGAAGCCTCGAAGATGAACTGCACCTCAAACTCGCGCTTTCCCTTCCCTTGGTTACTGAGGTTATTAAATAAAGGAAGTGCCTTGGAGAGTCGTGGCTTTCGGGGCTGGTCCTCCAGCTCCCCTCTAGGGCCAGACTCCTGCTGTCCAGCTGTGCGGGTGCCCAGGCAAGGAAGTGATGGGGCCTTCTGTCTCCACAGCGAACAACCATCGCCTCCAGCCATGCCAAACAAACATACTAGGTTAAAACCTGGGTCTGGCGACACAAACGTGACCTCCAGACAAATCCCCTCAAGCCGCCCTTCACACACACACTGCGCGCGCACACACACACCTTTGGTCCCACCGCTGAACAAACTGTTGGGCTGTTTAGGTTCCTCTAGTCTGCAGATTTGGGGCAATATCGGCGCCGAAATTTGGCGTATTGAAGAGAGAAGGAAGGGCAATGGGTAGGCAGAGGTTTGTTTTTCTCAGTTGACTGCGCCTTGTTTTACAACCTGGGTTGAGCCCGTCTGTAGAACTGACACCCTCCATTGTCTACGCGGTCTGAAGAGCTTGTGGGAAGAAAACGAACGAGGTGATTTCACCGACGACTGAATCGGGAGGAAGGTTCTGATAGGGCTCGTCCGCCTTGCTGGTGTCCCTTGTGCATGGCCCGGGGCCAGGAGACTGGATTGAGTGAGAACGGGTGGACGTTTGTTGCGCCTAACCAGAAGTTGGGTCCTCTCCGACCCAAAATGTTGACGCCCAAAGGTCCCACAGAAATGACTCCTACAAGCTCTTCATTTTACGGATGAGACCCCTGCGAGGGGAAACCTCCCACAGTGGACCGGCCGAGCTCAGGGTTCAAGGGCGCTGTAGGCCCTACTCATTCCCCGGGTTCTCCTTACCGCCTCCGCTGGGGGTCAGCCTTGCAGACCCGCGGCTCACTTGCGACTGGCTGCAACCGGGGCCCAGCACAGGCGCCGCGCCCCCGGGCACTGCGTACTGCCGCGGGGGCGAGCGGGATTCTGGAACCCGAGGTGAATCGAATCCCTCCGCCCCCACCTACCCACCCTCCCACTACCCGGAGGCCCTTGGGGGGAGGGGGGGAGGAAGCTGAGCTCCGCTTTGCTACCAGTCCCCTTCTTCAAGCTTTTGAAGTGGCGGGTGTACCCCTGAGCCCTGGCAGTCCGGCCCTTCCGTTCTGGATTGGGAGGCAGAAGGCTCCCTCCCTAAACTCTCCACCCAGTTTTTAAGTGGAATTGGAAACGGGAATGGCAAACGCTTGGTGAAAGGTTTCAGTGTTTTTATTTCCCCTTTTCTTTTGTATTTCTTTGTTTTCTGTCTTTTTTTTTTTTCTTTTTTTCTTTCTTTCTTTCTGTCCTTCGACATTTAGGCACTGGGAAGACACAAGGGAAAACGTGTACCAGACATTCTTCATTGGTAGGTCTGCAATGCGATCTCTGGGTAAACCACGGACAAGAAATAGGTCAACCGAGGAAACCTGCCCGGGAGGGCAGCCCCTGGAGCCTGGGTTTATCCGCGCCCCCCTCCCCTCATTTGAGGAAGAGGCTGCGAAAGCTTTTCCCCTGAACGCTGGCTGTCTCCCCTTCCCATTCGGTGGCAGCCTCCTTTGTGAACTAATGACTGTAATTATTACCTCCCCGAGCTCTTTTGTTATCTCCAAAGCCAAACCCCAGAGTGGGGGGAGTGGGCTCCCTTGCCAAATGAAAGTCTTTATGAAGCAAATTGCCGTCTAGGGAGGGACCACGTTAAGGAAAGACAAATCAGATCCCTGAGTGCATTTGAAGTAGGGTGTGTTAAATTAAAAAATGTAAATACCATCATTAGGTTCAAAGTACTCCAGAGCTGCGGGATTTAATTGAGTTAAAACAGTAGGATTTTAAGTCACGTAAAAAAAATGTTAAATCCAGGTGTTGTGATTTCTACCTGCCGTGTGTTTTAATCTGTTTCTTCCTTGGGGATATGTTTTGAACGCTTGTTTTAAAGAATCTTTATGTTTTTGGCCACTTATCCATAGCAGAAAAGTTCTGCAACCCCAGCCTGGTGGGTTGAAGCAAAACATTAGTAGGATTTGGTGTGGATTTAAACAAAAAACTAGCCTCTCCCACTGGCATCTGCACTGCTGGAGCGAGAGCTGCGGAGATGCCCTTCCCGCAGGCCTACGGTGGAACCACGAACTCTTTACACCCTGGCATTGTTACCTGGATTCACCGAAGCCAAGGCTGCTGGATGAAGGGGCCAGACTGCGGCCTGGGTTCACGCCCGCCGAGCGGCAGCAGCCGGATGCAGGCTTCTCAACACCTAGGGCTTTGCGCCAAGCCTAACGCCGGACCTGCAAGCGCCCTTTGCAGACACCACTCCCAGGCCGCGGTTTAGAGCCTACAGCTCCACCCCGCTCGGGCACGTGACAAGAAGACAAAGCTTCGTGGAAAGAATTTACCAGGCCCCCGCGTGCCTGGGACACAGGATTTGGGCTTGTATGCGGCCACCTTGGGCCCCACGACGCCTTGGAGTGAGAGTCGAGGGGAGGTAGCCACGACTGAGAAAAGGGAGCCTCTGCTTTGGCATCAGCTTTAATAACTTGATTCAGGAAGTAAGAGAAATGAGGGCTTTGTGAACAGAGTGGAAATGAAAAAACGCTGGTCCAAGGGAATGCAGGGAGCAGAAGGCAGGACGCAGCTTTTCCCCACCAGGGTCTTCCTCGCTCTCTCTGAGAGCCCGGGAGTAGCAAGGTGTACTTGACGCTGATCTCCGCTATCAAGGGAAAGCAATGAGGACCAATGCGGCGCAAAATCTGAGGCGCCTTCCCTTTGTTTACCAGCTTTTAGCGAAGAAATATTGTAAGAGAGGAGAGACTCTGACTTTCTCTGGGAAGAGGAAACCCCTTCCCACCAGGCCTCAGAAATAGTGAATCTCGCCTCTCCTTCCCCCCTCCCCTCCCGCCCCCAGCGTTCCCCGCTATCATTTAGATTTTCGAAGGGTGGGTGGGCAGATCATTAATTTGAGACCCGCTGACTCGAGAGCCCAGCAGGTGATGCCTTCTTTCTGCCTCGGATTTGGAAAGCTCAGATTGCACAGTTGGAAACTCTGTGCAGGTCTCCCACGCACACATCGATTCTGGTCACACGAAAGCAGCGAACCCTTCCTCGCCTCCGCGGGCCAAGGTCACCAAACGGCCCGATCCCATCCCCCATCAGCCGTCAATCCTGCCGACTCTAGTTTCTCTCCCTCGCCCCCCTCCAAGAAGTTTCCATTCCGTTGATTATTTTTTTCCCCAGCCCGAGGTCCTCGGTGATAGGCTCCTGCATGGATTTTAATTGCCTCAATCAGCGTCTTTCTCCCATCAGTCAATCAGGTCCTGGACGGTGAACCCGGCGGCTGTGCTCCCCAAAGCACGGCAACGATGCGCCCCGGAGCACCGCGCGGCTCTGTAGGAAGGCGTCAGCCTCGCCTAAGGAGCTGAAATGAGCCCTTCAGTGCGTAGGCGCCTTTCCCCCGCCGTCCTCTCCCCAAGCTCACGAACCGCTCGTGATTCCAGCCCCGCCGCGGGGCTCTCGAGGTCACAGCGACCTCAGCGCCGTCTTGCAGGAAGGCGGCGCGGAAATCGCGCCTCCTTCCCGGCAGCAGGAGCCAGACCTCAAACAATACGCCAGTCGGTGGTTCTTTGAGACTCCTCCGGGCCCCCCTCTCCGCCTCGCTGAAGCCGGCGCGCCGCGAGCCTCGCTAGCACTCTGGACAGCGCGCCCGGGCCCGCGGGGGCCGCCCGCCCGCCCCCGCCTGGCGCTCCGCGGGGGTCGCCCGCACGCCTCCCACCCACACGCTCTGAGTCGAGCCCTGGCGCGCTGTGTGCCTCGCATCCTCCCTCTCCCATATTTTCTCTCCGCCGCCCCCTCATCCATCGGGATTGGACTCCTTCCCCTTCAAGAGCAGTTGGGTGCTCGGCGCTTTCCCATACCCTGGCCGCGCGAACCCTTTGGTCTCCTTCCCTATTGAACCTCGGCTTTCGGAGAGTTGCCACGTCTCTAAACCCTGATCCCAATACACACACGCACACACGCGCACACACGCACGTTTCCTGTCCCAGTGTGACACCCACTCTCTGCCGCACGGCTGCGCGGGTCCCCGCGCGGTGCCCTCCTCCCGCCACACTCACACACGCACGCACGCGCGCGCGCGCAGGGCCGAGCCCCGGGCAGCTCGCGGACAGTTCGCACTCGGAGGCGACTTGCTCCAGTCTCACGCGCTGATGGCAACTCCAGGCTCCGGCTTTTGGTCCTTCGGGTCTGAAGATGGCTCCGGGGATCCCGAGAACCCCGGCACAGGTAGGGGAGCCGGGGCCTGCAGCAGGCGAGCTTTGCGGGTGGACTGGGGTTTGCGGGGCTAGGGAAGACGAAGGTTTTCCACCTACAACAGGAAACTTGGGACACTTCCCCCGCTCTCGGTGTAGGTCCCCGGTGGCCCAAGAGACCAAAACCCCACGGCCCCTTATCCCTTGGAATGACACCCAAAGAATCACAGGCCCTTTTCAAAGAAGTCTGGGAGAGCCCCCCCCCCCCCCCAACAGAGCCGTCTCCTCGACACCGAATTCCGTGGGCCTGGGGCACTGCCACCATCTTGCTGTCTGGACCCTGTAGAGGGATAGAGTGGCTCTGGGAAAAGGAAAAATAAATGGAAAATAGAAAATTCTTGGTCTGGATGGAGAGCCTACGAGGAAATGGACAGCTTCGGTATCTAGGAATACCTCGCTGGAGCAAGGCCGGAAGGGGGGATTGCCCGAACCTATTGGCATCTGGAAGGCAAGTGCAAAGGGCTGAAGTATGGGCTTCTCTTGGAAGCAAATCAGCGAGCCTAAGGTCGGGGCCGGGCCGGGCTGCCAGGCCCCCGCATCCCTCCTGCGCCTGCCCTCTGTGAGGAGCCCCAGGCAGGCAGCCCCTTTCCGAACCCTGGGTTTATTGCCATTGTCCTCATAAAACGAAATTTCACACGTCCGTCTGCTCTTCTCTTTCTTTCCTTGCAGCCAGAGCCTGGTGTCAGGTGGCCCAGAAGTTCACGGGCGGAATCGGAAACAAGCTGTGCGGTGAGTGCAGGTGCCGAGGGAGGGAATCGGACAAGGCCAGTCAGTCGCCTCTGGGTCCCACGGGGGGCAATGTCACCTTCTACCCTCCGCTTCCCCAACAGCGGAGTCGAGGTTTCCTGGCCGGGAGTGGGTAGGGGCGAGGGAGCCGGGCCAGACGGGCGGCTGACCGACCGCTCCCTGTCCTTGCCTAGCCCTGCTGTACGGAGATTCGGAGAAGCCAGCGGAGAGTGGCGGGAACGAGCCGCCACGGGCCACCTCCCGGAAGGCCACCTGCGCCTGTAACCAGAAGCCTTGCAGCTGCCCCAAAGCGGATGTCAACTATGCTTTTCTACACGCAACAGGTAAAGACGCCTCCCGGGGCCCCTGGGAGCCACGGCCCCTGGCTCGGTCCCACCCACCGCGGCCAGAAGGGACTCGGTGCCTGGGGCCTGACCCGACGCGTGGAGAGGCAGGGAAGGGACGGACCTCGCGAGAATCTTCAGCTGAAAGCGAGATGCAGTGGGCCTGTCCCACGAGCTCACGCCCCGGTGCCGCTCTCGGGTCTGCGGTGGGCGGAGGCCCCCTGGAGCGCTGGACCGCGAGGTCAGCTTCTTGGTGCGGCTGAAACGGGTGGGACTCGGTTTCCTGTTCGGAATTGCTGAGACTTTCTAGGTCTTTAGACCGCAAGAGTAATTCGTAGCTGCAGTTTCACCAGGGAACTATTCTATTCACGTGAGACCTGGGCACGGTTTTACTCCCCTGCGTTTACACATACAGTCACCTAATCATGTGTGTGTGCGCGCGCACACACACGCGCATACACATATACACAGAGAAAATAGGGAGCCAACGTAATGGGTTAGAGATCCTAACATTGCATGCTCCACTTTGTCTGAGTTGCCCAAAGGCATTCCTCAAACATTTCTGATGTGACGTATTTCCATAATCACTTAAGATTATTTACTCAGCTATAACATTTAGGACAAACCCCTCAGCAATTGATGAATGGAGGCACACTCCTTTTTAAAAAGAAAGCAAGTACGTTATGGACTGAAATGCAAGAATTAACTTGGGGTGCAGGAGAAATCGCAATTTCTCTTATTTCTTTATCATTGAAAAACACCTCCCCTTTAGAGAAAATGCTCTGCGTGTCCAGAAGATTAAAAAAAAAAAAAAATACACACACACAGAATCTCTCAGTCCAAAGAGAAACTGCTGAATCAAGACCTTGCCTGGATATTTTCACAGTAAAACTACAATGTGACATTTTGATTCCATTCTTTAGACCTGCTGCCGGCATGTGATGGAGAAAGGCCCACTCTGGCGTTTCTGCAAGATGTTATGGGCATTTTGCTTCAATATGTGGTGAAAAGTTTCGACAGATCAACCAAAGTGATTGATTTCCATTACCCTAATGAGCTCCTTCAAGAGTATAACTGGGAACTGGGAGACCAACCACAAAGTCTGGAGGAAATTTTGATGCATTGCCAAACAACTCTAAAATATGCAATTAAAACAGGTATTGTCCAATCAAAAATAATAAAGCTCTTTCTTCCTTTTACAATTTTTATTTTTTATATAAAAATGTTTTCTGTTTGATGGTGTTACTGGTATTTTCAAATTTGCAGTTATTTTCATCAATAAAAAAATAGTCATTATGAGAATGATGTAAAAGAAAGGCACCCTTTACAATGAATGTTAATGCTTCTGAAGTCGATAATGTCAGAAATATTATAAACGTATTGAGTATAAATCATCAGAGTTTATATTGCACGCATTTGGCCACCCAGATTAACCACTGATGTAGAAGCAACCGTTTGTCATCAGAGGCCAGTAGAAGTGACCCAAAATGGAGAAAGGAAGGGAATACAGAAATTAAAGCTCTAAAGGCATGATCCAAACAAAAGCCCAAATACGAGTGGAGTGCTAGTCATTTCCATGTCGTAGGAATGGTCAGGCGTTGGACAAACCATCCTAGGTAATCACTGAAACAGAGGGATAATATTGTGGCATTGTCTCGAATGTCCAGGACTTCAGATTTGAGCCCTAGGTTATCTCTGTTTTTAAAGAAATGTACACAAAAGAAAACACAAAACAAACTAGCATGACGACAATTCAGCCATGTTATATAAGGACGCGTGTGCTTCTCAGCCATTCCGTATGTAAAAAAAAAGGAAATGGGTGGGGGAGGGGAATCAGATACTCAGATACCCTTATTTCAAAACGTATTTTGTGTTCTTGCTTTTTCACAGTATTCTTCATACTCTATCCATTTTATAGCTCCAGGTGTAACATTTATTTGGGCACATTCTAAGCTTCCATTTTATCTACACAAAGTTAGCCATTCATCTCTCCCAGTCATGATTAGCCCTTCTCTTCCTGCATTGTCTCTAATCATGCTGATGCCTGATGGCACTACACTTCATTACAGCAATATACATAAGTATGAATGACTTTCAGGAGGGAAAGTGTACCTTGTGGATCTAAATTGCTTTGTAGCCTTAAAAAAATCTGCTAGCAAATAAAAATGTCACGTGAATGTTAATTACCATAGGAATTGATCTTTTTATGTTGCGAATTTTTCGGTTAATGAATTATCAATGCTACTCTAATCAACAACAAACATTTTAAGAATGTTTGCTGTGTGGCTTTTAGCTACTGTTTTTGTTTTTGCATTTGGTATGTCAACAGAGAGGGAAAGTATGCCTAGAAGAAGCTTTGGGAACTCGATTTACTGTATTATTAGTATCCACTTTTGTGAGACTATAGACTTGGAACCAGATACTAGGGAAAGGAATTTAACTTGGTGATTTCTATCACACTCAGTATGTGGAGTGTGAATTTTGAAGGCTTATTAGCTAGCATTCTCAATTATGTTCACAGAGAATCCATAGGATGTATGTATGTGTGTGTATACACACACACATACACACACACACACACACACACACAGGCATTAAAAGTGTTCCTCTTCCCAGTTTTGATGTATCTGCAGGTGCAAATATGAACAGTGCTTTCATATTCATTTTTGTTTGACCCATTCCCCTAATCTAGTATTTAAATATGTTAATAGTAGTTCGCTCCCTTTTATTTTTGTTGCTACCAAACCAAAACGAACCTATAAGTATGTTTTACATTTTCATCCTTGAAAGCTGGTGGTGTCTGAAAAGCAATTTAAAGAGTTTCGATAATGGGAACTGCAAATCAGTGAAAGTCCTCATTCAGTCAATGTTTCATTTAGTGTCAGAAGAAGATAGATCAATTCAATACTTAGATTTTGCCTTAATACTTGTGAAACTGTTGGTCAAGTGGAGTTCTAATGCATTTTATTTAAAGTTCAGAGGAAATATGATGAAATCGGATTTCTAAGCATCAATAATCAATAATTATTCATAGCATATGTAGTCTTCTGGTCTTCCCATTTCACTCCCCAAAAGCATTTCAGAGAATTAACACCAGTAACCTCCTCTTTTAGACTGGCAAATTTACAGATTTTTATGCTATAACTTGGATTTAACAGTTAGTAGAATTTAGGGTCTGTAAAATAGTCACCATCCCTGTGACCATTAGGCATTTTAGTGTACCTCATGAGGTGCCTTTATAAATATGTTATCACCTGCTCTCTACTGAGAGTCCTTAATCTAATTTCTACTCCAACCCCAAACACAAAGAGGTGTGAAGGTCAGTGCGGAAAATACTTTCAAATGAAGTCTTCATGTATAGGAAGTAGGACCTGTTGGATCAGAAAACTGAAAACTGCAGAGAGTGATAGAATTCTAGAATAATTAACATTTGCGGGGGGGGGTGGTCATTGGACTTGTGGTGGTGGTGGTGGTGGTGATTGAGGAGGGTAAGAGTTAATGTTGTCTTGAGTCTTTCTACGCAACCATCCGACAAAGAAATTGAAGCATCAATAAATGAGGCCGTCCTTGGGGGTGCCCTGCAGTACAGGGTAAGCAGTTTGGACCGACTTTAGGGCACTTCCCATCTGACTGTGGATGAGAGGGTTAGAGCCGCCTGGGGCTGGTGGTTCGCATAGCCTGCTCATCCTTCCTGGCTCATTTGCTAATCTGTCGGGAGTGTTCCAGAGGTGCCAGCAGCTCTAACCTCAGCTTCCCCCTCGCTGCCTCCCTGGGCGAGGCTACGCGTGGCCACCGATTCCCCCAACAATTCCCTGCCCGGTGGGGGTGGTGGCGGCGGCGGATGCCCAGGATGGCTGAGACAGCTGGCACCAAGGCAGGACTTTCACACCCTTTCTTTCTAAAAGTACTGCCTGGATTCCCTGGCTGCCTTCAGGGGTTATGGGAAGAAAACAGATAGAATAATTTCTGCAGTATGCTTCTGCAGAAATCAGGAGAACATGTTGTTTTAACCTGGCAAACTACCTCCTTCCATATTTTCACATCACTGTCAATGAATGAAAATTTTGAGGAGGAGAGATTCAGGTGAAATGGGAGACCAAGGTCAAAAATACATAGGAGAAGAGAGCCAAGCATTTGAAACATTAAACTTGTTTTCACAGTTTTCCAAAGGCAGCCATCAGGGTGGATTGACCATTTGATATCCTGGGAACCCACACACACCTTCTCTCCATTTTATGCAGAGATTTTTCATGCCAAAGTTTCCAGAGAGTTAATAGTGTGTAATAATAGACACCAGATTCATCCAGAAAATGCATATGAATTGGGAGAGTAGATTAACGGATTGATTTGCTAATTGTTATTATTTTCCTCGCTTTTAAAGAAATGGCTCAGGGAAAGAGAAATGAAGGGGCATCGGGAGGGGAGAAGTGGCTGTGACTTCAGCTGTGAGCTCTAATGAAATGGGAAGTCAATGAGGCAGAGACAGGGGAGGCTGTTCCAGACAGCACCCGGGCAGCGCAAAGGGGCTTTCTCACTTTCTGTGGATGCATAAACTGACGGGGTCAGCTTCAGAGGGCCTGGTAGAGAGCGAAAAGGTAGAAGGGCACTCTGAACGGCCACAGGGAGGCAAAACAATGCTGGAGAATGAGTGAGAGCCAAATGTGCCCTTTCCCGGCCCCTATCTTTTCTCAGTGTCTAATTGTCTCGCCACATGCCTGAGGCTGATAAGGGAGCAGCACTCCAGTACTAGAGATAAGCTCTGTGTTGACTTTTGTCCCTGCTTTCCCCATTGCCTTCCTTTATCTTGTTTTGCCCATACTGGCGTGAGAGACTGTCATCCCCAGGCTTCAGACAGATGTCCCATAAGTGGCGGATGCCTTTTTATCAGATGCTATTTCCATAATTGATAATCTTCCAAAATTTGGGCTGCCAAGCAAATCACAGATTTAGAGATAGGCTTTTATGGGGCAAGACAAGGAATGGAATTCTAATGAGATATTTACCATCACATTTTAAATAATAGCCTCAGGAGTATTTGGATGTCAACTCCTTTAGATAGTTTTAGAGAAATCTAGAAGCTAATTAGATAAGCCTTGCTAATGGACTCATCAGTCCATTGACTATATCTTTACACACCTTGGTGACAAGACAGTGATGCTGACTGTATTCGGCTTTATTTTAAATCACAATCATGAAGGGGTTCTGTTGCTTATAATCAAATATTTGGACAGAAAAGAATTGACAAGAATTAGATTTGTCCACGCCACCTTTAGACAACGATTACCTTTTGAATCCAGGGCAAATCACACAACAGAGTGTCCTGTTTTCTCATTTTTGCCTTGTCTTTTGTAATCATTAGCCATTTGTCACTGATATTATTATGAATGTTGGCATGCCTGGTGGATGTCATGGTATGACTGATTTCCAGAACCACTTCAACAAGAAAAAAAAAAGGATTTTCAGCAGCACGAGTGTAAACACGAATGGCTTTGGATTGTACTAGCATTTTAATTTGCAAATATATTGAAGGGATGCTAGGATGTAAACTAGCATCCACATTGCAAACCATATTTGTTATTTTTTTATAGGATAATGTTTTGAGGAAGATTTTTAGAGTGTGTTTTAAGAAACACCATAACCCAAAATAGTCTCTCTTGTTACATGAAATGCTTCTTTGGGATGTGTGTGTGTGTGTGTGTGTGAGCGTGCGCGCGTACACACACATGTTGGGTTTCTGAATATAGATTTCCTATTACTGAAGGATCTTTCAAGGTTCTTCAGCTAGAGAAATCATGTGTTTGAGAGGCATTTATTTTCACTTGGTGCAGTTCTGATTCTGGTGTTCCGTTTTCTTCAGGGCATCCCAGATATTTCAATCAACTTTCCACGGGACTGGATATGGTTGGATTAGCAGCAGACTGGCTGACATCAACAGCAAACACTAATATGTAAGTAGTTCTTGTGTTTTGTTTAATCCAGGATAATTATTAGTGAGATTTCATAGTCTTTATTCTACCTCTCATGTGAAAATCTCTTTTTGTTGATTAGCTCCTAAAATAGGGATATAAACTTCAGAAGTATATGGGTGTTCACTCTAACTGAAAACAGTCCTGATACATCTGTCACACAATCAAAGCTATACAACGTTTGTCAAACACAAAAGGCACTTTTTTGGCATTTGAGATTTATAATTAATGCATAATATGAAAGAGAAATGGGACCAGGTGCTGTTTTTTTTTAATAGAATTACTCTGCAGTGTTTGTTTTTATTTATTCAATCTGATAAGTGACCCTTGGGCATTAAGCCAATAATTGAAGCTCCTAACTTTAGGAATATAGGAAAATGAGCAGCCTTTTAGAAGACCTGATTTTCTCTCTGCTTAAAGCTATAATCAAAACATTTGTGAATGTATGGCTTGAAGAAGGAAATACAGTAGTTCTATACATGTTGTAATGATGAATTATTTCTTTGAGTTACATACATAACATGTGACCATTACTACACTTCAGGTTCACCTATGAAATTGCTCCAGTATTTGTGCTCTTGGAATATGTCACGCTAAAAAAAATGAGAGAAATCATTGGCTGGCCTGGGGGCTCTGGTGATGGGATATTTTCTCCTGGTATGTGATATTTCAACCTTTCTTTGTTTTTCTGTCCTGATATGCAATGCCTCATTATGAACATAGGGAGAATTAAATACATAGTCTGTATTTCTGCTTAGGTTAAATAAGTTATGCTGATCAAAAGAATGGGTGAGATTACACATGACCATTGACCATGCTTCCAAGCAGCTACCTCATACTTAAACAATAGTTATTTGTGTTCAGAAAGAAGATGAACAGGGATGCTATTTACTCAGTACCCCTCCTGTGATCCTACACAGAAGGTATATGGATCATGTGGAACAAAGGAATAAAGATTCCTATTAAGAGAATTCACCCTCTGAAACATCCCACAATTAGTTAAAGGGTAGCCTCATTTAAAAAGCATTCTCTGTTTCAAGATGCATTACAAGGCAGATCTATGTAATAGAGCCTATGAACCCTGTCCCTTTAAATAACAACCAGAGAAGCTGATTTATACTAGTTTTAAGGAGAGTAGAGAGTGGCATGAGAAACCATTTTTTTAATGTTTATTTATTTATTTATTTTTGAGAGAGAGAGACAGAGTGGTGGAGGGGCAGAGAAAGAGGAAGACACAGAATCTGAAGCCGGCTGCAGGCTCTGAGCTGTCAGCACAGAGCCTGACACGGGGCTTGAACTCGTGAACTGCGAGATCATGACCTGAGCTGAAGTTGTCCACTTAACTGACTGAATCATGCAGGCGCCCCGGGAAACCATTTCTTAAGCTAAAATAGAGGGTGGTGATTTCTTCAAGAGGTTTCTTTTTCCTTCTTTATCATGCCATTTAGTCTTTTCCATCCTACTTGTATCACTAGCCATTGGATTCTAAGCTCCATTATTTACACTTCTTCCAGCCAAGAAAATCAACCTGACAGAAAACGCCTTGCCCTTGTTTCCAGGTCTGGGTGTGACCTCGGGTTGATGCAGAGAAGAAATAGAAGTTAGAAAGGCAATGGAGAGAGAGAGTCACTGACCCATGGAAAATAAACCTGGTGTGCAGACTGTGACCTAATCAGTGGCAGGAGAGGGCTATCGGAAGGGGGCAGGTACTCAGTACACTGAGAGTGGCCCCGCTGGGGAGGTTGAAGCCACACCTGCCATTGTGTGAGGCCCAGCAAAAGCCACATCTAGGTGTCCCCGCAGCAAACCTGCCAAGACAAGTGGATGATGAGGGAGAGAGAAAATAAAGACTGGTTGAAGGAAGAAATTATAAATAAGCAACAGTGGCCTCAAAGATAGGGCTTAAATTAAGCAGCTTTACCCACAAGCTCAGATCTGCTATTATATTTTATGCTTTTAATGATGCAGCATAATTTTTCAGGTGCAGACGGAAAGCATGTTAGTTAAATGGAAGGGAAAATTAGCCTGTTTTTTTTTTTTTTCATTGAACACCAGTTGTGATGAATTTTAAGCTAGCCTTTATTTTGTAGAGAACTTAGTTTTCGTTTGGAAAACCATTCCCTATTGAGGGAATTTTGTCATCGATGTCTGGAACCGATACTCTTAAGGTACTTTTCATGAGGAATTAGGTAATGTTCAGAGATCAACATTGTTTCTACCTCTGTTCTTCTTCCTCTTATGAGGCTGATGTGTGACCAAGCATCCCAGGCTCTCTTTTAATGGTCCCTAGTAGTGGGAAGAGAACAGTTGCTCCTGTTGACCCTGAAAATTTGGCTAAGGGGGCTTGGGCCAGGCCTAATTCATCTGGTCTTGGAACCCAGCTGCCCCAGAAATATACACCCAGAGAAAGAATCCTCTTTGGAAGTTTTGCTAAGCGGGGTATAGACACCCCCATCACGAATACCTGATCATTTGGTCAGTCTTCCTACCTGACCAAATGATCAGGTAAAAAAGACTTAACCTTGATCATGAGGCTCCTTCCTTGGATACTAAAGGTCCATATGCTCTCATGCCAACATGGAAGCTACAGAAGATGCCATATGCTAAATATAATGAAGACATTGCAAAGTGCAGAGGGGACAGAAGAAAAGGCCATTGGCAAACTGTTTCTGCTCTGCTTTCTACAAGACATTGCAGAGGAGAGAGGGATTAAAGCATCCTTGCTTGCTACTGGGTGCCTTTCTCGGTAGCATCTAGGCTCATTACTGGGGTAAAGGGTCTTACGATTTAAGGGGTGGGGACTGGGGAAATCACACATCTTATGTGCATGTGCCTGAGATCTGAGTGTCCTGTTGCCCAGGAGTAAACACAAAGAGTTAGATCTGTGACTTGAATATATAATTCAGCCCAGTTTACCTTACACCTCCATCTATAACATCCAGAGGATTTGTGCTTCATGGAACGATCTTTGGGACATCCAGAAGAAATCTGTTAATGTGATGTCACCTATGTCTGGGAGCCATAGAGACCTGGAGTATTCCTCACTGCTCAGCAAGTCATGAAAGACTGAAGGAGAAGACAGGGAAATCTTGGCTTAGTCACAAACCTTTTCCTGTCTAACTGGATTTTCCTGATGTTTCAGAGCTTATATTTGCATCCTTTCTCTGGAAGACACATCTGTCCTCCTGGCTGGGGTGCACAAAACAATCTGCTCTGACTAGAGGCCCACAATCCTCTTCATTTCTCTCAGGGCTACTGGATCTTTTTTTCCCCCTTCTAGTTTTATGGTTTTATTAACACTAATATGATGTGCACATCAGCAGTCTATTCATTTCCTTCGCTGTGCAGCCTGGCATCAGGGTTGGTGACTCTGATGGCCAGCCGGGCTGCTCTTTCCGCAGCAGCTCTGTAGTTCTTGGTGGAGGCATTGTGAGCCATCTCTGCAGAGTAGGATTTGTTGCACATCAGCCACAGTTCAAGTTCCTTGATGCTGTGGACTAGGAACTTCTGGAAGCCACTGGCCAGCATGTGCTTTGTTTTCTTGCTGCTCCCATAACCAATGTTGGGCATCAAAATCTGGTCCTTGAATCTTCTGTACATCTGTTGTCAATGCCTCTAGGGTTCTGCCAGTTGCACTTAATTTTGACACACTGGTCTGATTGGTGCCTGATAAACTTCTTGGTCCTCTTTTTAATGATCTTGGACTTCACCAGGGGTCTGACAGCATCCATGAGGCCAAGTAAGAGATGACTGCTACCTCCACAGGCAGAAGATGAAGAGAAGGACCACTGGATCTTTAGAGAATAACTGAGTGGCAAAATGAAGAGTGGGGAAGCAGAGCTGGAAGCTTCTTGAGTAACTGTGCTGTGTGACACACTTTCTTTTTGTTCATCTTCTCCTTCTCCTTCTGGCCTCCTTTCCCTCCAGCCTCTCTGACAAGAACTAGGGCAGTGCTTCTCAAATGGGGGCTATTGTACCCCCCAGGCAACACTTGGCAATGAATGGAGAAGGTTTTTTTTTAAGTTTGTTTGTTTATTTATTTATTTATTTATTTATTTATTTTGAAAGAGAGAGTGCATGCATGTCAGCAGGGAAGGACAGAGGGAGGGAGAGAGAATCTCAAGCAGATTCCACACTCAGTGCAGAGCCCGAAACAGGGCTCAGTCTCATGACCATGAGATCATGACCTGAGCTGAAATCAAGAGTCAGGTGTTTAACCAATGGAGCCACCTAGGTGCCCTGAGAAGTTTTTGATTGTCACGATTTGATGGTGGGGTATGTAGCACTACAGGCATCAGGTAGGTAGCAGCCATGGTGCTACTGAACACCACCAGGGCACAGGACAGCCCCTACCACAAGCAGTTATCCAGATAAAATACCATCAAGTACCAAGACTGAGAAACCACACGCTAGAATGGAAGTTCCTTTAAAAGCTGATCCCTTGCCCAGCAGCATCCTACAACTCAGTCTTTTATTTATTTATTTTTTAATTTATTTATGAGACAGAGAGAGAAAGCATGAGCAGGGAGGGTCAGAGAGAGAGGGAGACACAGAATCTGAAACAGGCTCCAAGCTCTGAGCTAGCTGTCAGCACAGAGCCCAACGTGGGGCTCGAAACCACAAACCAGGAGATCATGACCTGAGCTGAAGTCGGACCCTTAGCCAACTGAGCCACCTAGGCACCCCACACTCAGCCTTTTAGACAAGGGGTCTAAGTCAGAAGAAGTCCTGACCTGGATTCTGCTTGCTCCATGTCTCTGGGGTTCAGAAGAGGTAGAAATATCCCTTATTCTGACTGAGTACAGGGCCAGGATCTGGGTACTGAGCTCACTGTGCCAGCCTGCCTGCTTGCATCAGAGCCCAGGGTTCCTGAGGCAAAAATCATGGCCCTACATGGGCCATTCATTTCCATACAAAGAGCCCTCTGCTCCCCAGCCACCCAAAGGGAAGGGAACTCAGGGCACTCACATCATGGCTTAGCCCAGTGTGTCTCCTATGGGGAAAGGAGATAGTGCCTTCAAAGTGCCATGTGGCATTAGAGCTTCCATGCCAGCATATCCATTTGCATGCACAACAGTCTGCCTTCTTGTATAGCAGAAACCCTAAACTGTCCAACAATCTTGTGGAAAAGCTCACTTTGCTTGTGAAAGGAGACCTTCCTTATAAGATGCAAAAATTATAATATGAAGTCCTTGACGATCTTAGGTTGACACGAGAAAAGCAATGCAATATAGGCTTAAAATTCCCTTCGGTGTGTGTTTTACCATTGTTATAAAATGAGATTGTGTTAGCTCTTAGAATTATATTTCTATGATATCTTTGGGAAGGAAGAACTGCTCTGGGGAGATTAACAGAAGAGTATGATGGGCTTGGGTATTTATCCTCACTCTATAAGGATTGTTGACTAACAGTCCACATTGTTAACTGCAACTGAGTTTGTCTTGGTGCAAGTGCAAGGCATTGCATGGGTTGAAATGAAAAGAAATGTGTTCCCCATCAGGATATAAGTAAGATTTTCACAAAAATCCTAATGAAGAATGACCACACTCACCAGGTGGGAAGGAAGGCAACAATTTCTCAGTTCTTAAGAACTTCTTCCAAGGACCCCCCGCAAGAGCAGAATCAATTGCAGTTCTCTTTAGATGACAGATTTGGGGTGTGGGGGTGGCATCTATCCTGGGTTTGGGCCCAGTGCTCCTTTCTCTGGACCCTCTTAGCCTGAGGATTCAGTCTGAGTTTGAGGATTCAGTGTAAAGGATAACCAATAATATGGCCTTCTCCTGTATCCCAGGAGGATTCTAGGTCAATGGAAATAAGGAATGTTTCTTGCACATGAAATGATGTTAATAACTAGAAAAGGTAACTGTGTGTTGCTGTTACTTTAGGTGGCGCTATATCTAACATGTATGCCATGCTGATCGCACGCTTTAAGATGTTCCCAGAAGTCAAGGAGAAAGGAATGGCTGCTGTTCCCAGGCTCATTGCCTTCACATCTGAGCATGTATGTGTTTCTATTCTTTTCAAGTTTAAGGTTATAGTCTGTAAAGCCCAAGTTGATGGAGCCCTATTTGGAAATGCTTTATCTCCAGAAGTTCTCTTCCTAGAAGATAGTTCTTGGAAGAGAATGAGGGGAGAGGACAGCTGACTGGTACGATGCAGGCGGGGGGAACCCCTTTCTCTTTGAAATTTAGGAAAACCCTCCTAGAGAAAGCAGAATGTTTTTGCTTCTAGTTCCTATACTTCATTTTTTTGTAATAATGTTGTATGTTGGGGGAAGAGGGAGAGGAGAGGTCAGAGTGACTATGAACTCATTTGGACAATTGATGCAGGACCTACATAACTCCAGTGTGTCCTCTTGATACAATCTTTCTGTATGAAAATTCTCATCATATAGTCTACCCTAACGGTGCCTTGAACCATTTAATGCTAATCTTTGGCAGGCTTAATCAGAGATATTTATCACTGTAGAAAATGGCCGAGTAGTCATATCTGCCATATCTCATCTCCAGGTCAGTTCTGTCTCAGCCAATCACAGGCTCCTGTGTTCTGCTATGTTGTTGTCAACCTATATGTTGTGGGATGCAGAGAGCTGGGTCTTTTACCTGAATGCCACAGCATGGTACTCCATATTCTTTCCATGGTGTTCAAAGAGTTAGTGCCATTCTCCCTACTGTCACAGACACATTGAAAAAAGTGGCCTACCCTGTTATGTTAAGCTAAATGCTTCAGTCTGCTAGGCCTCCAACTTTCTCTCCGGTGCAGGGATGGAACCACACACAAGCTCAAAGCCACGTTGCAGCTGTTTGAGCAACATTTGGCCCCAAATTCTCCCACCACATGGGCCCAGCAGCAAACCAGAGGCTGTTCTTGACAGGCAATAGTAAGCATAACCTGCCGTATAATTCCTAAGATTTTTCTTATACAACCTCTTCCTCAAAGTAGTCTTAAGTTTGGGAAACAATTGCTTCAAAGAAGATCAAGAAGCCCTCTCATAGTGGGGGAAATAAAAAGATGGGGATGAGAGAAGGTTCTATAGGGAAGCTAGGGGCTCCTGTAAAGAGATATCAGTGGGGAGACACAGGGAGTCATAGTGGGAGTCAAGGCACATCTCCTGTGGAACTTTTCTTTTTCTTCTTTAAGTGGGGTGTGTGTGTGTGTGTGTGTGTGTGTGTGTGTGTGTGTGTGTTCATAACAAGGAAACAAAAGGCAAGTACAGACTGGAAACCAGTGAATACAATTCACAACTATAGCAATGGCCATGGAATCAAAGGAAACTAGTGATTTATGTTAACAAATAATCTTCAGCATCTTGTTTTTAATCGTGTTAGTGTTTTGTTTTGCCCTTCCTCCATTTACAGAGGTCAAATTTAGCAGAGAAGTCCACAGCCTGAAATTACCTGGTATTTTACTTCCTATTGCTGCTAAAACAAATTACAACAAACTTAATGGATTAAACCAACATAAATTTATTATTTTATAGTTCTGGGGGTCAGAAATCTATAACAGGTCAGATAACAGTGTTCCTTCAGGAGACTATAGGGGAAAATCCTTGTCCTTGCCTTTTCCAGTTTCTAGAGTCCACCTGACTTCCTTGGTTCATGGACACCTCTTCCAACCTCAAAACCAGTAAAGCATCTTCAAATCTCTCTCTACCTCTTTCTTACTCTCTCTCTCTCTCTCTGACCTCTGCTTCTGTCACCACATCACCTTTCCTCACTCTGACTCCCTCTCCTTCTTTTCCTTAAAAGGACCCTTGTGATGACATTGGTCCCACCCAAATAACCCAGGACAATCTCCTCTCTCAAGACCCTTCGCTTAACCACATCTACTAAGTTCCTTTTGCCATGTAAGGTAACATATTCTTAGGTTTTAGGGATTAGAATGTAGACATCTTTTTGGGGAGGGTGTTATTCAACCTGTTAAGCCTGGTACCCCACCATGAGATAATTTTCATTTCTCAACTTATCCACAGGTAGAAAATAATGATAAAATTTTTTCCAATGTCTATTTCCCTCTGCTATTATGTCCCCAAATAGTTAAATGTTACTCTATTCTCAGCCTCAAAAAACTCAAATGATCTTATATTGGGCATCTTTTTATTTTGGCTTCCATGCTGTTTGCACAACGTGAAATGAGGTTGGTTGACTAGCAAGCTGCCCTGTGCTCCCTGGTTTCTGCATGAATTTCTTGCCTCAAATTTCACGGAAACTGACTTAACCTTGCCCAGAAAGCCCAGATCATGTGGCCTGAGAATAATTTTGCTATGCCTTCATTTCTTGATATTACAAACTTAGAGCCTACTTCTTCACTTCTATGCAAAAGAAAGGTGATTCAGCTACACAACAACCATTCAGTACTTCCTCTTCCTTATGTACCTCTATCCATGCATATAATTATGAAAGAACATTTGAATTATAAACCTTTCCTAAAATACCAATTGGTTCTAACTGTAGGCTTATTTTTTGACAAGATGAATTCTTTTTCTTTCTTTTTTAAAAAAATGTTTGAACTTTTATTTTTTGAGAGATAGAGACCGAGCACGAATGAGGGAGGGGCAGAGAGAGAGGGAGACACAGAATCCAAAGCAGGCTCCAGGCTCTGAGTTGTCAGCACAGAGCCTGGTGTGAGGCTCAAGCCCACGAACCATGAGATCATGACCTGAGCTGAAGTCAGATGTTTAACTGACTGAGCCACCCAGCCTCCAGTACTGCTCTGTCAACTACTGGGTTGGATGACCTCTACACTACTCTAGCTGGCTGCTCTAAATTCACATGGTAGCATCCTATTTTCCATGTTGGTTCTTCTAGTGCTAACATAATTTTCTGATCTATTGAGCCAAGTTATTGTCCTTTCTTCTAGTCTGAGCACTGAGTTTAATACTTGACATGTGTAGAGCTATATAGGAAATGACATTGAGAAACTCTTTTCCAGCATCCAACCAGAAACATCACACACTGAGTAAGGGAAGGGTCATCTTTTGTTTTCTAAATGATCCACACTGTCTCTCTTTTGTACCCCACGAAGGCATCCATCTCTTTTCTGGCCACCAACCTAGACTAGAATTTTCCCATACTGATAAGGAGGGCAAGCTATTAAATTTTTATTTGTCCAAATCCAACTGTTTTCTTGAAGTTTTGAATATGACTGCATTAAACAAATAGTATTGCCATGAAGAACATTAGAAGAAGTAAGTATATCCACTGAGTTGAAATAAGAGATAGCACATAAGCTCCAAACAGAGTTCTAAGATTATTTTCCTCTACAATATGGAATCGTAAAATCTCAGAATTAGAAAGGATCTTAAAGACTGGCTAGTTTAATACTCATCCTTTGCTGAAATCTCATATTATCACCAAATCTTCAGTGATAGAAAAGCTTGGCAAAAAATAATCTGATGAGTTTTAGGTCCTTTCTTGAAAGTAGGTTTAGAGGGAATTTAAGTCTCTAGCTCAATAATTTATATCTCTAGCTCTGAATCCTTTGAAAACCCAAACTGTGAGCTTCATTCCAAATTTTCCTTAGTTCCTCATGTGCAACAAGCTCTTCCAGAAAGAGTTTCAATGGAACAGCATAATTGCATCCAGAAAAAATATTCTTCATAGTCTGATCACAGGTACTGGGATCTTGTAGACAAATCAGCACAACTCACTCCACTCTTTACAACTAGTCACCAGTGTTCTGCGGAGGTCCCTCATGGCCTCAGCCCACTTCCGAAGGGAGGTGATTCTCATAAGTGTTTAGAAAGATGGTTTTTGCATAACAACACTATATTAGAGGCTTCAATTCCAAAAATAGATGGCCTTGGGGCACCTGGGTGGCTCAGTCGGTTAAGCATCTGACTTCAGCTCAGGTCATGATCTCATGGTTCGTGGGTTCAAGCCCCACGTCAGGCTCTGTGCTGACAGCCAGCTGAGAACCTGGAGCCTGTATTCGGATTCTGTATCTCCCTCTCTCTCTGACCCTCCCCTGCTCATGCTGCTTCTCTCTCTCTCTCAAAAATAAATAAAACATTTAAAAAACAAAAAAAGCCAAAAAGAATAGATGTCCTTTATGTTAAAAAAAAAAAAAAAAGAAAAAAGAAAAAAGAAAGAAAGGTGACCAAGGCAGCTTGGAAAAAGACAGCTCCCATGTAATGCTCCTATTAGACAGAAGCTTTGCCTGACAGAACTTCAGGAAGTGAAACCGTGAGCTAAATCCAATTTACCTTTAGTCTCTGCATCCCTACTTCCTGTTCATTTCAGGGCCCTCATCACCCCTGTGTTATTTTCTCCCTCTACTCAATCCCATCAAAACCTACTCTCAAGAAAGAGCCTGAAAGCCCTGTAAATGATTCGTAAAACCTAAGTGTTGACTCTCCTTGGCATTTCCATTGCAATAGGAGACAAAAGAAGAGGGCAGCAAGGCACAAGGGCACCATGGGGCAGGGGGATGTTTTCTTTATACCTTCCTTCATTCACTCAGTGCAATATGTGCCGGGCATTGCCTCAGGTACTGGGGAGGCAACAGTGAACAGAACAGACCCAGTGCCTGCTCTCAGGAAGCATATATTATACTGTGGGGGAAGGAAAGGACAGGAGTCTAGAGGGCACAGTCACGCTTCTCAGTGCCCCTGAGACCACAATGAGTGATCACTATAACGGAATTCATGCTGAGTGCTGATGTTCACACTTGTCACCAGCTGTCATCCTTGGATCTCTTTTCACATCAGCTGAATCTTCATACACATCAAATCTTCATTCACGATGCGTGACTTTAAACTGTAGAACTATTAGTAATAAGGTACCAGCTTCCCACAGATGCTTTGTATGCAAATCCATATCACATCAGAATCACATGGAGTCTCTAAGAATGTGGTTGAGTGATGCCCTACCCTCCAAATCATTATTATTAGAAATCAATGAAGTGGTCTCCCAGAGGACAAGCTTCTTTGTAAATCAGATGATTTCAAAAGCAGGATGCTCTTTTAAGGCTACTTGATGAGTAGAAGCAAAGAAAAGGACT